TTCACACTCGAATGCAATCGAGAATTGAAAATAACAATGTGAAAGCAAAAAGAATCAATCGTTTTATTGATATTTATCATTTACATGGGATTGTAAGCTATAACACTTACTTATTCAAGTATAAAATATATCCTTTTTCTATTTATCACTTACGACTTATCTCTTCCTTGTGAGCCGCTTTCCGACAGCGTATTCATATTCAGATTCTGATTCGCTCATTTTTCAATATATATTTTACTAAAACATAATGTAAAATAAAATATAATAATAATACTAATAACAATAATAATAATAATAATAATAATAATACTAATAATAATAATAATAATAATAATAATAGTAATATTCTGAAAATTAGAATTGCAATAAAAATTTTGATTATTTTTGTATTTTTGTAATTTTCTTGCCAAGACAACGTTCTAAATTGTGTTTTTTTACATTTAAAAAAATTGATTTTTTTTGGCCGGCCTTTTTCAAAAAAACTGTGCATTAAGGGGTTAATTTTTCCTACACTTATTCCTTTGTCCAGTGCCTGCCCCGTTCTCTTTCTTTCACTATTTCTTTTCCTTTATTTTCTTTTATCTCTTTTCGTTGAATATAATGGATCTCTTGTAAGGGTGCGTTTCTACTTTTGGATGCGGTAATTTTCTATTTCTTTTATCGCCTATCTGTTGTATTACACCTATCTCTTCACCCTCGTATCGGTGTCAGTTTTAGCCCTGTACGTGATCGCTTATACACAGAAATAACAATTAGATCGAATAATGTTTTGTTAGATTTCTCGGCCAGTTAACTTCGAAAATATTCCAGTTCATATTCCGAGGCGACTCACCCTGTATATAGAGTGGTACAGAGACAAACACCCACGATTTTACAGACACTTCCGATACAATACCCAGAAAACTAATAACGATTTGACGGTTTCTCTTATAGACAGCCTGTACCTGCAGTCGAATTCCTCGTCGTCGAATAATTCCAGCGGCAAAATGTGAGCCCTGCCGAACAAACCATAGATCATATCACGATTCAACAGCGGCAAGATGGCGGAAGGTGGTAACATATCCTTGGACGTCACACCGATCGTCTCTAGAGCATCCTCGATCTTCAAACTGCGGTAGAGCTTGCGTCTCCTTTCCATTTCTACGTTTCGAGGCAATCGTTTCGGCTCGACGTTCAGCTGCATTTGTACTTTCGGAGTAAATGTCTCCGCCGGAAACTCCTGAACGCAACAAAAAAATTTGTCGCTGTCTGAATATGTTTTTCTCAGGGATATCTTACAGTACGGAAATATCCGGGAGAATCTTCTGCATCTATATCGTGCAGAAGAAGCTTATTTATTATTGCGAATATTCAGGACGGATGATTTTTACCGCTGTAGCCGTAACATGCGATCTTTTGTATTTTCAGCAAAATATTTGTCGCAGTTACTACAGCTAATGATAAAACGTAACGGTAAACGTAATTAAAAATTAGAAAATGATAGAAATACAATTAAATATTATTTTTTATTTAAAGCGTAAATGATGCACGTACTAAGGAAGATATGTGTGCAGAAAACAACATGAAATTTGCATATTCAGGGGGCAAAAATATATTATAAAGGTACAGAAATATTCAGGAGAATCTTCTGCATTTATATTATGCAATAAAAGTTTATTTATTATTGCAAATACATAAGATGCAATATAAAATCCAACAAGAATCAATTGCTGTTTGAATGATGGTGGTGCCTCTTGTGGCGAAATCAAGAAGCTTCGTTTGGGATCCGTACAGCGCCAATTAGTAAATGACAAAACGCTGAGACTACTAGCCAAACAGTGGTGCCACTTACGGTAAAATCTGGAAGCTCTGTTTTGTCTAGTAGTTTCAGAGTTTCACCACATACTAATTGGCGCTGTACGAACCCGGAACAGAACTTCAGCATTTCGCCACAAGAGGCATCGTCAATATCCAAACAGCAATTAATTTTTGCCGGATTTTTCATTGTATTTTATGATGAAATTTATGTATTCGCAATAATAAATAAACTTGTTTTGCATGATACAAATAAAGGAGAGTCCCATAAACATTTCTATATTCTCAGAATAACAACTTTTAGGGTATTCAAAGTTTATATGAATTTCTGCTCACGATCGAACGATCCTCGTCAAAGCTCATCCATCGTTTGGCTTCGCCAAGGAACTGATATGTTTTCTGATCCTCTAATCGTGAAACGTGTGCGCTATGATGCTCGGTGAGCACTTGCCAGGCAAGTTTTCTCCGCCTTGGCGCAACGTTTTCGAGAATCTGTCCCGGTTTTCTCAGTTGCTCCCTTGTACCTGCGTATCGTTTATAATTTAAAAGCGAAGATTAAGAATTTCAGTTATTTTTCACTAAAGTTATATATTTATCCCGTTTTCTTTCATTTAATCCACGAAATTAAATGCATAATGGTACAAGTGGGAAAATTCTTATATCCAGGTGCTGTAATCAAAAATTCTTACCCGTAACGAGTTCTGAATAGTAACCGCGTTTTTTAAACTTCCTCTCCATGCTGTTAGGCTTATCCGAATTTAGTTAATTGAAAGTTAATATAGAAAACGTTGCAACAGCTAACATATTATTTATGTGGAACAATAATAACTCGACCTGGTGTTGTTGCAAATTTTGGCAACTTTGAAGCTGGCCTATTCTGAATGAGAATAATGAAGTATGCCCATTACAAATATCTATTTCAAAGAAAACAATCTGACGTACTGTTCCATAGATACCATCAATGATACTTCCATAGATAATATGTATTGCTTTTTGGAGAGTAAAACTTTTGTCATCTGAAATATTTATTCCAAAATATGTACACAGTTTATTACAAATTAAAATATGTACATCTGAATGTACGCAAATTACATACGAAAACGTAATTTCTCAATTTTTAAAGTCTGCCTAATTTCAAACTAGAGTATGATCTATAGGCATGCATTCTGCAATTTTCTTTGGAATAACAAATTTTTCTGGGTTTTGCTCCAATAAACATCCTAGCAACCGCGGTACCGACATCACAGTACCGGAAATCACAGAGGGAAAATCTCTTCCGCTTGGTGTCTGCTGGGCGATTAACAGTCTCTTACTGAAATATTTTCCACACATAGAAATGTGACCAATTTCGATATACTGTTTTGAATACATCGACCATAATTCAAAAGAAACGCGCATCAATTCCCAAGGCCTCAATTCCGGTGCAGATCTCACGACTACTTGATAATGGTCACAGATATTATCATACAATTTGGAGACTGTGTTCAGCAGTTGTTCGAACTCTTCATGATACTCTGAACCGTTCGTATCCTTGACCATGACAAATGCATGAGCCACAGACGCTTGGCACACAGTGAACAAGCCAATTGGAGCAAAAGTTCCTGGGAAAGGGGTATATTGTCTGCCAGTAGTGAAATACTTTAACGGAAAATAGGTGGGGTTTATCACTTGCTTTGCATGCATAGCTAAGAAAGATGCCAAGCTTGCATTTCCAACGAGGTGCATCTGGTTCGGAGATTTCTTGTCTACTTCACAATGATTGTCTATTATGAAGGCATCCATTGGATCCTCGTGGTTCATGCCAGATCCTTCCACCACCAAACTACGACTAAAGTCTGAACCAGTCACCCTGATCATGTTGTTCTCAGTGAAAATCTTCCCTGCATAGCTCAGAGCACCAAGCTCGAACAGAGCTGCATCGTTGCACAGATAATAATGCATGGGATTTTTATATTCCAGTAAACCAAGGTTCCTTCCAATATCAATATGGTTCTTTTGATGTTTCACTTCTGACAACTTGCTTAACTCACCAAAGGTTTTCATTATAGTCGGAGACTGTAAGGGTGTCCTCTCATCTATGCTATTTGGTAACTTCAGCATCTTTTCGATGACTGTCTCATCTAAGTTCCATACAATATCTCTGACAGCCTTCAAGTCTTGCTTCAATGCGAGAAACTGTTGTCTTAATTCGGCTGCTTTTATCGTTTCCTCAGGAGTTAAGTCCGCTCTCGTGAAGTTCTTCAGTTGTTGACCTACTTCGTCCATTTTAATCTGTAAAACGTTTCTATCCGCATTGACCGATTTGAATAATTCCCATACATCCTTGATATCTTTGGCGTTTACTTTGAAGCCTCGAGATGTTAGGTCTTTTTGAAATTTATCGAAATCCGATAACTTGTCGTCGAAATCTAAATATGGACTTATATATGAGAAGACTTCCATGGCCTTTTTCCCTGAAATGAACAATGCTGAAGAGTAGTGCCTGTTCAAATTTAAAGACGCATTAACGTGCTTTAAAACTGGATGTTTCAAGAGATTGTGAACTATGCGCGTTCGTACAATACAAATAATGTTGTTTGTCATTGTTAGCATATTAAGCAAATGCAAAGTTATCTTTATAGAATATAAAGAAGGGTCTGTTTAAATAACAATGATTGCTTTTCATAAAGAAATGATCTCTATGCATTAAATTTTGCTATTTTGCTTTCTGGCACAGTATCTGTTTCTATGTCCATTTTAAAACTGTCACGAGTTATGGTATCAATTTTTCGTTTCTGAGGAGCAATGTAATTTCCCTTTCCAGCAGCTCGTTCAGAATCTTCTATAGTGTAGGGCTCTAGTTCTAGTGCTTTTAATCTCCTTTTGTGAACTTTTGTTGTGAAATGGTCTGACAAAGCTGTATTATTTATAAAATGCCTCCTGTAAAAAAATAGAACCATTAAAACATTATTTTACTTTTATAATACCTGAATTTAATGTTTCTAAATGAGGTGACTCTCTTTCCTTCTTTCTCTTACTGCCTTTCGACTATTAATAAATCATAAAGCAAATCAAAACCACTCCTTGACATATTTGATGCATATAATCAAATACCCTGTATATCATAATACATTTCACTGATACCTATTTCCACTACTTGTCCACTTAATTTTATCATCATCTATATATAAATGAAGTTTGTATTCTGTGATGTATCAATCAATTTAAATAGAACTCTATCATCGTGAGTGCAATTTGAATGCACAGGCTAGAATATGAAGAGGCAGTGCAGGTTATATAAAAGTTGAAAGAAAACTTACGCGCAATGTACACAATAATATTGGCCCGCTCCAGGTTTGTCCAAATCTACTTCCTGATTTACTAAATTTTTCACATTTTCGTCCTTCAAATCCTCATCGATCTAAAATAAAGGATATCCTATAAAAATTGCCGATCGTCGAAGATTGTCAGCCACGTGACACACGTGCTCATAAAGTATGGGTTTTACTATTGCACACCTCGTCCAAATCTTTCGTTCTTCTTTTCGTTCGCCAGCCCTTTTTCAAATGAGTATCTCCTCTGTGATATTTTTTGCGTTTATAAGTCATCTGTGACGAAAATTTAATAAATCTTACAAACTTCGGATTTCGAATGCTACCACGTTTATCCGTATTTCTCCAAATAACCTTATCCACTGTTCAACAGAGATAGTTGCCTTAAACAAGTGTAATCGAACAGAGATACATGCATATATACATACGCACGTACATACATACATATATACACACATGCATATGTATGTATGTATGTACACACATTTGATTACAGAATCTGTGTATGTATAGTAGATCATAGGCAAATGTTAAATACATTACATACTATTTAAATATATTTTAAATATATCGGGGAAGTTCGAGAAATATTAGATTGAAAATTTTTTACATGAAATGTATTTCTATCGAAACCAAATTTTCACGACTTTAATTGGTCCTAACAAAGTGAAATTAGAAACGCTTCTACAAACTTCATCCATGTATCTAAAGTTCTTATACACATTTAATTACTACTGTCATATGATAATAAAAAATTATAAAAACACATGTTCGTTCTTTTAATTGAAATAAATGTTATGAACAACTATGCCTTCTTTTATTAACTTAAATGTTCTGACATTACAGTACCATAAAACTATAAAAGATACTACTTTATAAACAATTGTTGTATTTTATAATTTAAATTTCGCGCCTATTTCTATTGGCAAAACTGCAGTACTGTACGCAAGTTCGTACAGTTGCGTTAGTACAAGCTGCTTCTTCCGGAGTTTCACATCTAGGGTGTTCCCGTCGTTTAACGCAGAATTCACAGAAACAAGAGGAAAGATGGCGCAGTGACGTCACATCCGCTCAGCAGTCGAAACGTAACGTAATTCGCTAACACGTTTTCTCCTATACACAAGACCGTGAGCCCTTTAGGCTTGGCGGCTTCGTCAAATGCAGTGAGCGTCGGTGTACGTAAAATGGCGGACGGTGACATTGATTTGTACGCCGACGATCTCGAGCAAGATTTCGCGCAGGTAATTCGATTTTATCATTGTTAATAAACTGTCACGCGATTGGCATGCGTAACCGTGGATCGGCCGGTCGCGTGAAAAATCCTCTGGACTGTGAGAAAAACGTTGATAGTCAAGCGGGGTGTCCGGCGTCATGGAGTAAAGATGGTAACGATTGCAAGCGGCGCCCTGTATTTTCTCGGTTCGGTACAATTTCGGGATCGTGTTTCTGTCGGGACGAGTAGCTGTCGCGTTCGATCATCACGGCCAACGAACGTTCCTCGATATTTCGTTGTTCGATTAGTGTACAGTCATGCGCGTTACTTGCCTTAAGAAAACTAAAACCGAATACGTGTTAATACAGATACACAGCGAGCAAAGCGAAATGGTGTTAACGGTAAGGCAAATGTCGTGCAGTAGTGTTTCTCTTCCGCTTCGTTCGACGATACATACATGGAGCTTTTACCGAGATCTATCCTTTCTGGCTTGAGATTCGGGACATCTTTCACAGACTCGACGATGGCGTTCGAAATAGTGTTTCGGACCGTGGACGCCAAGCAGAACCCGTGTGAAATATGTATCTGGAATGTAACATGGAAACTTTGAAATTCTGGTCTTCAGAAATTTTACGGACCACTGTTTTTTCAATCGGAAAAATTTATCAGTATCTATTCATTATAATTTGTAGCATCAATGTTTAAAATAAATTATTCGTATCGTGCAAAATTTCAAATAAAACGATTTTATTCTATTTGCTCAGTTTCCATGCCACGTTAAGGTACTATTTTATTTATACTCGATAAGTGAAACACTATTCTGAATAACCGGATTATTATTGTTGATATAATTTTTCGAAACATTTTAGTTATAATTCGAAACGTTCAAGTGAATTTGTAGTAGTTACATCTTTTACATTTATTACGTTTTACATACAAGTTTTTCAATTACTTTAAATATATTTTTAACCTGTTAAAAAAATGCCTGCTAGTATCGATATGTTTTATGTTCAAGGGGAGTTGCAAATATCATTACGGTTCTTTTGGTAACAGTATTATGTTCTACACAGTATTTTTCCTACAGCCACACAGCAATAATGTTCTTTGTGATTAACATTATGTTTATTGCTTAAAATAAATCTTTATACGAGCTACTGTGGTATTTCTGATTAACAGATTGAATTACCTAATGATTTATTTTACAATCATGGTATAAAACTTGTATCGTAATCATTTCATTCATTATCTTTTATGACTATTTCATGATTTCTTATAGGATGAGTTTGCTGGTGATGGTGTTGATTTATACGACGACGTGATAGCAGCTCCTGCTGGTGGTAATGGAGGAGTTTCAACAGGTAATAGTGGAGATGGTGGAGGTGACACTACATCGCCAAATGAAGAAACAAATGGCAGTGCTCCATATCATCAACTTGGAAATAACATTCAACCAAACCAAATTGGAAGACGTCATCAATTATATGTTGGAAATTTAACTTGGGTATGCAATTTAAAAATAATTTATGATTTGTTTTCATTATTTTTAAAGAATTTATTATACATTACAGTGGACGAGTGATCAAGACATAACAGATGCAGTACAAAGTATTGGTGTGTCTGATTTTGTGGAAGTAAAATTCTTTGAAAATCGGGCAAATGGACAATCCAAAGGTTTCTGTGTGATATCTTTGGGTTCAGAACAAAGCATGAGGATATGTATGGAAAGACTACCCAAGAAAGAATTGCATGGACAAAATCCAGTCGTAACATTTCCTACCAAACAAGCTTTGAATCAAGTGAGTTGAGAAACTTCTAAGAAAGAAATGCTAACAAAACCACTCAAAAGTATGTTTATAGGCAGCAAACTCAACAAAAACTTGTTTTGCTCTGAAAACTTAACATCTTATGATTTACTTTTTACAAAAGTCGTCTTTTATTTCAGCTGAATAAATAAATTTATTATGTTCTCAGTTTGAGTCTCAGTGTAAAACACGTCCAGCTCCAGCTCCGCAACAAAGTCAAAGTCAACGCCCCCATAATCCACATCAACATCAGCCACCAATGCCACCTCATCAACAGCATCCACAACATCCCCAACACCCTCAACATTCACAACAAAATCACGGTCCTAGAATGATGATGGGTCCCCCACAGGGTGTGAGACCTCAGAGAATGCCACCTCCTGGTATGGGTCCACCGGGTCCAGGTGGACCTGGACAACAAGGTCCACCACGTATTCATGGTCCACCCATGGGTCCTGGACCTGGGCCACATCATCCTTTGCCTGGACATCCTAATCAGGGTCCACCGCCTCCTGGATATCAGCAGGGACCATGGAATGGTCCTAGACCTAATGGTCCACCTGGACCTCCTAGAGGTCCGAGTGGCCCTGGCGGTCCTCCGCAACAAGGACCTCCTGGACCAGGTCCTGGTCAACACAGACCACCGGGAATGGTATGTTTTGTAGCTTTCATATTTAAAAATATTTATGGTTATGCATAATGTGTCATTGATCAACAATTATTTTCCTGTACTCGATGTACAGTCAGGGACAAAAAGATAGAACAGAAAGATTTTTAAATCTTTTTTAATCAAAACATAAGAAAATGTACGGTGACCTATCTTTTTTTCCCAACTATATTCTCGAGCATCTCGAAGTGGAACTGTGCCATTTAGTTTTTACAGGAATCAACAACTATTTATTTCTGTAAATATAATATATACTCTATCAATTTTTAGTTAATTATAGTACAAGTTACAAGAATATTTTCTGCACTTACATGTCTTACGCTTCGCGTAAACAGAGTTGCACTAGAGACCTTTCAGAAGCCAGTTACCATATACCACAGGTAACACAGTGTGTTGTTTTTTCTGCTTTTCACGTTGTAAGAGCTATCTTACACATTAAATAGAAGAAATTCTATACAGATTACATATTTTTATCATGCTGAAAATTATTTATTCTGAATAATAAATACAGTGCATGAGACACATATGACATGAAAAGCTTATAGAGTTGATGACATTTCATCTGAATTCGTATTAACTTGACCACACAATGAAAAGGTTTTAATGAATTAATAACTGGCTCTGATACATAATATTAGATCTAGTATTAGGCTTCCTTTTAGCTCGATACTTGAATTAATGAACAGAAATTTCAAGTATGTACTTTATCCAGTAATATTTTAATCATTAAGTATTAGTCATCAATCTCGTAGATCAAGTTACTGCTACTTTCTAACATAGGACTCAATTTATGTCTCTTCAGCAATTTCATGGTGGTCCACCTGGTCCACCTGGTCAAGGGCCTCCACGTGGTCCACCTGGACACCCTGGTGGACCTCCAGGAGATCCAAGAGGTGCCCAACCACGCCCTGAATGGAATCGACCCCCAGGTTCGTAACTTCTTTCAATTCTTTCACTAGTAACATACTGAAGCATCTTGGACGTGAATACTCTACTTTTTCTTCATTTCATATATTATTATTTTCAAGTTCTTCTTTTCTACAATGTATAATATGCATGATAGAATAGATGCGTGACAATTGTAATATTGTGAAGTGTACTGTGTAAAGCATCAGATGTGTACGATGCGAAATGAATATTAAGTAAGCCACATTAAGTAGCAAAGCATTGTCTAATCAAGTTACTATAATCGAAGTTCACAGACGTATTGTTCAATGTGCATAGGAATGCATCATGGGCCTCAGGGACCACCAGGTTTCCCTCAACATCAACATATGCAAGGCCCGCAACCTGGTCAAGGCCCGCCACAGAGAGGACCTCCTCCAGGTTCGATGGGTGGTGAGAAATTTAGGACGTTCATTGAATATTAATAATACCTTTTATTTCACCTTTCACATGATAATGCATGATATTGAGGGAAATTTTATGCTTAGGAGTATGAAGGTACAAGGTGTTTCATGGAAAATAAGCTTATTTTTTGTGTTATTATTGGAGTGAAATCCTTTAGATGAAAATTGTCTAATACCCTAATAGATGGGATGTGGATCAGAAGAAAATTTCTTGATGAAAATGAATTTGGTATTGTAGTTTTGTTGTATTGTGCAAGCACATCCTAAAGCAAAAACAACCATATACTATCAAGTAGATTAATAGTGAATGTAAACGATAGTACTGTCTGTGAGCTTGCTCTACGTTGCAAGCTAACATAGATATTGATCAGGAATGTTGCCAGGTCCAGGAGGACCACCACCGGGACATGGAGGACCACCTCAAGGACCTCCGCAAGGACCTCCAGCGCCGCATGTTAATCCTGCGTTCTTCCCACAAGGGCCACCCCATCAGCATCCAGGACAACATCCACCAGGTCCTCCTGGTCCACCCCATGGGCCTCCGCATGGTCCACCACATGGACCACCTCATGGTCCTCCTCATGGACCTCCTCACGGTCAGCCGCATGGACCACCGCATGTACCACCGCATGGTTACGGGCCACCTGCGACACAAGTATAATTAATTTACATATTCATAATAAACGCAAACTTCTTCTGTTCTATATTATTCATCATAATGAAAATTAACAAACATTTGCAGCCACCTTATGGTGCACCAGGACCTGATCATCGCCCTGAGGGACCTCCACCCCTTACAGAACAAGAGTTTGAAGAAATAATGACCAGAAACAGAACAGTTTCTTCATCTGCTATTGGTCGAGCAGTATCAGATGCTGCGGCAGGAGAGTATGCGAGCGCCATAGAGACCTTGGTCACAGCCATTTCTCTGATAAAGCAGTCCAAGGTTGCTGCAGACGATAGATGCAAGATTCTGATCAGTTCGCTGCAGGATACTCTAAGAGGTGTTGAAACCAAGAGTTATGGTTCTGCACGAAGAGGTAAACTTAACATAATTTGTTTCTTACTTTTTTGCCGTAACACATTCTCTGTTCAGACATACTTAATATGATAGTTATATTTCTGGAACAAAGTTATAAGATTCGCATATATGAAATTCTGCAGAACGAAATAGTCAGCGCGATGTACAGGATGTCAAGAAAGTAACGGTCACGATAGCGACAATGATAATTGTTTTTAAATTGATCCATGAGATAGTGTAACCAAATTTTTCTTAAACGGATGTGACCATTACTTGTTTAATCCTGTTCAATTACCTAGTTCATTGTATTTAGGGGAACAATATAGTACTAAAATTTTTAACGTAATGGTGGTTGCAGAACGGTCACGATCGCGCGATAGAGAGCGCAGTCACAGAAGAAGACGCGAACGATCAAGAAGCCGGGACCGGGAGTACAGGGAGAGAAGCAGAGATAGGGACAGGGAGCGGGACAGGGAGCGTGATCGTGAGAGGGAAAGAGATCGTGATCGCGACAGGGAACGTTATTACAGCGAAGCATATCCACGAGAGAGATCACGAAGCAGAGAGAGGGATCGTGAACGTGAAAGAGATCGCGAGTATAGAGAGCGAAGCAGAGAAGAAAGGTAAGCTCAACACTATCTTCTCACATAATTGTATTTTAAAATTGTGACAACAATATGAACATGGTATTGTCATTTGAATGAGTCACTTGTCCGTACGGAAAACAGAACTTGTGTTTTTCTTGAATAGTCTACGTTGTAACGTATTTGTATATTATTGTCACGATACTAAAAGTATCGCGTGCTGCAAAAAGAAATTATCGTTTCGCTCGTATCACGTATTTCGAGATGCAGACTCTGCGCGAGAGTCACTGGAATAAACATTTTCTTTTTTAACGGAGTATCTATTTACTGTAATTAATTCAGTGTCCAGTGAGAATTCGAATAAATTAAGTAAACTATAAATCGAATGGGAAATATTTTCAGAAGAATGCATTAATCTATTCTGCGAATTTTAGCTTCTGAATGAAATTTATTGTAAAACAGTCGGTAATGCAGAGTTGGGCAATAATTAATGATTAATGGGGTAATATATGATTGTCATAGTGACAATTAACTGCAGTAGATGTTAATTCTGCAATTGAATTGATAACTAAGTTATTTAATCAATGACAGGGTTCATGATTAATTATCAAATACAATTACTAATTAATATTTTAAATCAACCCTCGATGACCAACGATTAATTAAGCATTAATTAATGAATCGAAATATAAATTTTGGCTAATGCCCAACTTTGCGATGATCATTATTTAGGCAACTCGATTAAAGAAAATTTTTTGAATTGTCATTCGTTGTAATTTTGTAATTGCTTTATTACTACGACCTATATTGCTTCATTATTTAAATTAGATTAACGATATTGCAAACAAGGGTCGTCGATAACTTTTGATATAGATTTATGAACGTAATATGTAAGATATTTGTAACTTATGGTTCAGCATAAGTTAAGATTTGAAGGTAATTAATTAACCCTTTCACTGTGACAATTTAAAAAATAGACAAAAACGTATATAGA